TATCCTACCCACTTCATCACTTTGTCTGCAGAAGAACAGAAGATCAAGCAGGCAGAAATTGTGCACATCAGACTCCTGACGTAACATTATGCAGATTTTGAGGCAGGAAAGTGTCTGCCTCATGCAATGACTAAGAATTCCCCTTAAAGGTGTAGAAAAGACAATGTAACGCTTTTCATGACTAGTTATCTGGGTGAGCAAACGACTTAATCCCACTGAGTTTCTTGTTTTCCATCTTTTAAGAAGAAGATAATAGATACTCTCCCTATCTTCCTAATTTTGTTGTAAAGCTGAAACTTCATGTGTGTATAACATAGCACACATATAATATATATTATATATAAAAGTGTTTTGGAAAAGGAGGAAGTATTATAAAAGTTTTGGTAATTTTAGATATAAAAGCAGACTTTTAAAGTTCTATTATATGAAGAGAGAGACAAGAATTATAAATTCTTCAAACTTTCATTATGTGTTTATTTAGAAAAATTGCCCTGTTTTTATTTATTTACACGAAAGAATAATAAGGACAGCTACCATTTAATAGAGCCCTGGCAGTGCAAAGTATTCCACACGCATTACCTCATTTAATTCCCTCAATAACTGTTACTGATAAACAACTCAAAGCTGGAACGAGGGTGAAGCAAAGGAGGCATTTATTTCAGGTACAAAATTTAACAGGGCACCAAAAAACTCAGCTATTAAATAAATAACATTCTAATATTGTATTTAAAAATCAAAAGTAATCCAAATAAATCTACAATAAACAAAATATCCACATTTTAACTAAAGACAGGGCAGTTATCTTGTGTAACCTTGAGTAAATAACTTCTTTGTGCCTCTGCTTCTTTATTTAAAATGGGATAATAATAGTAGTACCTGCTCCTTAGGGTCGTAGTGAGGACCTAATGATTTAATGTAAGTGATTAGAACAATGCCTGGCATATTTTAAATGCTTGAAACATGTTGGTTAAAATCATCTAGTATTGTCTTTACTGGTTCTGCAAGTTTAAATATAAGAAAACTGAGGCTCAAACGGTTTAAAAAGCTTGACCAAGTTTACAAAGCCAGTTGCAGGATTCACACTCAGAAAGTTTTCCTCCAGAGCCCTTTTCTTAATCACTCCACTATACTGTTTCTCACGGGGATGTTAAGAAATCTGTATGTTCACAGAGCACATTAAGTGTGAATATGTGTGCACCTCACTGGTAGATCATACAATGAAAGCTTTTTAAAAATCTCTTGAAATGCTACCAAGTGTTAATGTATTGACTTAGATGAGTTTTATTAGATTGGCATTGCTTAGCAAAGGAGCACAAAAGAAACGGAAGAAATACCCTACAGTCAGAGTGTGAGATTAAGAGAGCAGGGCCTTCACTTCGCCCAAGAGGTTAAGACAGATTATATAACCAGTCCCTTTAGATAAGAGGGCAATCCATCTTCTTGAGAAGATATATCAATGGTTAGGATTCAGTTAAGATATATCAATGGTTAAAATTTAGTTTTTAAACTTGTTCAACTTGTTCATTTGAATGTAGCTATAGATTTTTTTTTCTTAATGAGAATAAACAGAGCTATCTGTTAACAGGGTAAGTGGGAAACAGCACATGTGGTTTTATACAATTGTATCCACAATAGGCAGTGCAAGGCACAGAACAAAAAAGCACTCTTATTTATAGAGCTTCTGACTTCAATTACACCTCTTGGTAAAGCAAGCAAAGAATTATTTATACAGGTTTCTAGGTTGGTCACAATAACGCTTTTTAAGAATGATGCTTAGTTGTTTAAACGTGTGACTCAGTATTCTCTAACCTTCCTGAATCTGTGTTATTTCCTCTTAACTGTTGTCTGTCATTCATGTTTTGGAAGACAATTTAATTTCCTTTGTGAATGAATAGGGGCAAATTAAAGGATGTATTTCTATGTGTTTCTTTTGAATATTTTCCTCACTGACTACTGGGGTGATATAAACTGCAAAACCTGTAGTCAAAAGTGTAATCCTATGTAGTGAAGTTATATAAGAGCAAGCAGTTCCTCAGAGTCAAGCAGTTCAGCAAGAGCCACACACACATGCACACACACACACACACACACACATATGCACAACAGTGATGAAACATGCATGAATAGATTTCTATAATAATCAACAAGAGGACGTCTTTTTACAAAATGCTGAAATTTGCATGATGATTTTTTCACAACGTGTGTATATTTCACAATTTCACAACATATTTATAAGCAATTGGTTCAACTAATAGAAAACATGTCATTTACTTCCCTTATCTTTGGGATCTGGCACTAACTCTGCACCTTACTGTTTCTGTACCCCATTTTCTTACCTAAAAAGAGGTTAATATGACTCATCTCATAAACTTGTTGTGAAGAATGAATAAGACAAAGCGTGTAGAGTCTTAAGAAGAAGACGTGGCATTTAGTAACTGATCAAATATGTCACCTCTCTCAATATCATTATTACCTTAGAAAAAGCCTTGAAACTTGCCAAAGTAATCGCATCACCTTTAACAATGAGTGCGGAAATGTACCTTCTTGGTTTCAGAGATCCTTATTTCATCCAGGTTTCTAAGGCATCCATTACATCGTAGTAAAATAGCTAACACTCCTTTTTCCTTGCTATTTGTCAACAGCTGCTATGACCTTAATTATCTGTAGAAGGCCTTTAGAATAAGATTTTTGACAATATGCACTACAAGTAAAATTATTCTATAATTATATTCTGTTGTAGTGATTATTGACCATCTTGTTTCTTGCCTTGTCATAAAAAGAAAAAATACAGGTATCATTAAAGTATGTCCACTGAGATAGCGAAGGCTCTATTTCCTGTTTCCTATTCCATTAGTGCCCAAATGACTGCCCTCTTTAGAGCTGCTCTGTAAGCTCCCTGACATACAACAGCACAGCTGGGCCTTGCCTTCCTACAACATATAGGATAACATGAAACAGGTCAGTATGTGTAGAGAATGCATGGTGCATATTGAATTTGAAGAGCAAACAAATCTGGTGTACAATCATTACGATCACAGTGACATTTATCTCAAAAAATTAATTTTAGCCCAAGGATTTTTCTAATCAAATATGAAACTTGTCACATGGCACAATGACATGATGATTTTGATGAACAATTACCTGAGGAAAGGTTAACACTTTTGCCCATCATGCCTAATTAAATAGAACAAAATGGATGACTTTCAATGTGGGGGAAATATCAGATTTAAGCAAACTCTAAAAAACTGCCACAAATATTTCTCTTTTTTGGCAGTATTATATATCACTTAAGTGGAAACCTACAGAGTTCTACTGCGTGATTGATTTTTGAAGGCTATAAAATTGAGTAACTTGTCATATCTTGGTACTCTCTATGCAAACACTTGTATATATATTTTTTCTGAAGAACTTTTTTTGAGATAGGGTCTTGCTCTGTTGCCCAGGCTCGGGTATAGTGGTGCAATCGTAGCTCACTGCAGCCTCGAAATCCTGAGCTCAAGCAACCCTCTCGCCTCAGCCTCCTGACTAGCTGGGACTATAGGCACGCACCACCAGGCCCGGCCAATTTTTAACATTTTTGTGTTAATAGTCAAGGTTTCACTATGTTGCCCAATCTGTTTTTTTTTTTTTTTTTTTAAGTTTTACAGCGGATAGAAAGATTAGAAAATCTGTTTCACCGAGAGAGAGAGATCTGACATCCAAGATTGAGGAAAATGGTGAATGCTGTTACTTTTCTTAGTAGAGAACATTCCCAATTAAAAAAATTTTTAAAAAGTACGCCGGGCACGTTGGCTCAGGCCTGTAATCCCAGTCCTTTGGAAGGTCGGTCGAGACAGGCGGATCACGAGGTCAGGAGATGGAGACCATCCTGGTCAACATGGTGAAATCCCATCTCTACTAAAACACAAAAAAATTAGCGGGGCGTGCTGGCGCGCGCCTGTAGTCCCAGCTACTCGGGGGACTGAGGTAGGAGAATTACTTGACCCGGGAGGCAGAGGTTACTGTGAGCTGAGATCACGCCACTGCACTCCAGCCTGGCGACAGAGCAAGACTCTGTCTCAAAAAAAAAAAAAAAAAAAAAAGTAAAAAACGTGTTTACCTTCAAACTATTTAAGACAGAAAACTAAGTAACATACAGAACACATAATTATATCTGCAATTAAATGTAAAATTCTCAACATTTTATTTTTCATTTCTCTACGTTAACTTTGTTTCAAAATACAAATATATTTTAACATTGCTGGCTCTGAACAACATTAAATTGATTTTAGAACGTGAAAGATAAGAGCCTTAATCAACCATCTCCGCTTAGGAGATCTGGGAGTTTGGAGAGAGATGTAAAGCACCATGGTTCGGCTGAAGGGGTTGTTCTCCATTGGCACCTGAAAGGCAGGATTGGGGTGTGGCTTCCTCGTGCCTGAGCCAGTGTGCTTTGTTCTGTTCCTCAGCTTGTCGCTCAGATCCTTTTTTCTAGATCTAAATGGAAACAACAAATGAGTATTTGATCAGCACAAATTCCCTCCAATTGCTAGATAAAACAGCTGACTGCACATGCCCTAGCAAGGCCTGGCCAATGGCTTTTTTTAATTCTGTGAGAAGCACGGGTGTTTGTTTTCAGTAGAGATTACATCAAATCCTGGTGATTTCCCCTCCTGTAAGTTTCTCGACTTACCCACTTTTTCCTTCTCCACTACTATTTCTCTACTCCAAAGTACTATATTCTCTCACCTACCTGGGAATAACTTCCTAGAATGGATCCTCCTTTCTCCATACTGTATCTCCTCCCACCCAATTGCTTTTTCTATAGTTAGCATTGACCTTGTAGAATGCACACCTGCTCTCATCCATGTCCGTCAATGCTGCTGCCCTCCCGTCCGCCACTGCCACCTCAATGGCCTCTCATCTCTCTGATGAAAGAAAAACTTCAGAGTGCTCTGAGGGAAGCAAGGAGGCGGCGGAGGCGGCAGAGAGCGGCAAGTAGTGGAAACGTTGCTTCTGAGGGGAGCCCAAGACGACCAGTTCTAACGAGTTCAAGCTGAACCAGCCACCCGAGGATGGCATCTCCTCGGTGAAGTTTAGCCCCAACACCTCCCAGTTCCTGCTTGTCTCCTCCTGGGACACGTCCGTGCGCCTCTACGGTGTGCCGGCCAACTCCGTGCGGCTCAAGTACCAGCGCACCGGCGCCGTCCTGGACTGCGCCTTCTACCATCCAATGCATGCCTGGAGTGGAGGACTAGATCATCAATTGAAAATGCATGATTTGAACATTGATCAAGAAAATCTTGTTGGGACCCATGATGCCCCTATCAGTTGTGTTGAATACCGTCCAGAAGTGAATGTGGTGGTCACTGGAAATTGGGATCAGACAGTTTAATTGTGGGATTCCAGAACTCCTTGTAATGCCGGGACCTTCTCTCAGCCTGAAAAGGTATATACCCTCTCAGTGTCTGGAGACCGGCTGATTGTGTAAACAGCAGGCCGCAGTGTTGGTGTGAGACTTACGGAACATGGGTTACGTGCAGCAGCGCAGGGAGTCCAGCCTGAAATACCAGACTCGTTGCATACGAGCCTTTCCAAACAAGCAGGCTTATGTATTAAGTTCTATTGAAGGCCGAGTGGCCGTTGAGTATTTGGACCCAAGCCCTGAGGTACAGAAGAAGAAGTATGCCTTCAAATGTCACAGACTAAAAGAAAATAATATTCAGCAGATTTACCCAGTCAATGCCATTTCTTTTCACAATATCCACAATACATTTGCCACAAGTCGTTCTGATGGCTTTGGAAGTATTTGCGATCCATTTAACAAAAAGCGACTGTGCCAGTTCCATCGGTACCCCACGAGCATCGCATCACTTGCCTTCAGTAATGATGGGACTATGCTTGCAATAACATCATCATGTATGTATGAAATGGATGACACGGAACACCCTGAAGATGGTATCTTCATTCGCCAAGTGACAGATGCAGAAACAAAACTCAAGTCACCATGTACTTGACAAGATTTCATTTGTTTAAGTGCCATGTTGATGATAATAAAACAATTTGTGCTCCCCAATGGTGGATTTGTTAATATTAAAGAAACCAGGGAAAATATTAATTTTAATATTATAACAACCTGAAAATAATGGAAAAGAGGTTTTTGAATTTTTTTTTTTTAATAAACAGTTTCTTCAGTGCATGAGATGGTTTGATGGTTTGCTGCATTAAAGGTATTTGGGCAAACAAAATTGGAGGGCAGTGACTGCAGTTTTGAGAATCAGTTTTGACCTTGATGATTTTTTGTTTCCACTGTGGAAATGAATGTTTGTAGATAAATGTAATAAAAATCCCTTTGCATTCTTTCTGGATCTTAAATGGTAGAGGAAAATGCTCATGAGCCATTTGTTTCTTTTGCTGGTTATAGTTGCTAATTCTAAAGCTGCTTCAGACTGCTTCATGAGGAGGTTAATCTACAATTAAACAGTATTTCCTCTTGGCCGTCCATTATTTTCTGAAGCAGATGGTTCATCATTTCCTGGGCTGTTAAACAAAGCGAGGTTAAGGTTAGATTCTTGGGAATCAGCTAGTTTTCCATCGTATTAGGGTACTAATAGGGTACTAATTAGGGAAAACTAATAAGAAAACCTCCTAATATCATTTTGTGACTGTAAACGATTATTCATAAGCAAACAGTTGATCCCAGAAGGGCAAATTGTTTGATTCAGTAATGAGTTGAGAAAAGACAGAACGTATCTGTGTATTTGGAAAAATAATTGTAACATAATTGCAGTGCATTTAGACGGGCATCTATTTGGACCTGTTTCTATCTCTAAATGAATTTTTGGAAACATTAATGAGGTTTACATATTTCTCTGACATTTATATAGTTCTCATGTCCATTTCAGTTGACCAGCAGCTGGTGATTAAGGTTAAGAAGAAAAAATTATAGTGAGAATGAGATTCATTTCAATGTAATACACTAAAACAGAACACGAACTTAGCTTGGCCTATTCTAGGTAGTTCCAAACAGTATTTTTGTTGTCAAACTTTAAAATTTACATTAATTTGCAAACGTATGTCTCTGAACAGGACCTCGACCTTTCCTGAGATTTATTTTATCTGTGATGTATTTTTTAAAAATTCTTTTGATACAGAGAAGGGTCTTTTTTTTAAAACATTTTAGTGAAAACTTGGTGTAAGTCTGAACCCATCTTTTGAACTGTATTTTCTTCATTGCAGGTCCACCTAATCATCCTGTGAAAGTGGTTTCTCTATGGAAAGTTATGTTTGCTTCCTACAAATACATGCTTATTCCTTAAGGAATGTGTTAGAGTTACTGTGGATTTCTCTGTCTTCTGTCTTACAAGAAACTTCTCTATGTACCTTAATACTTTGTTTAGGATGAGGAGTCTTTGTGTCCCTGTACAGTAGTCTGAAGAATTCCCCCTTCTGTGCCCTAGCAAGCCCAGTTGCTGTATTTGAACAGTTTGAGCTCTTTTTGTAATATAATCTAAACCCATTATTTCTGTGCTGTCTAATAAAGAAGATTCAGAACACTTGAAAAAAAAAAAAAGGAAAAGTTCAGCCGAATTAAACTTAAAGGAGCTTAAATGAGCAACAAACAACTCACAAATTGGGCAGCCCCCAGAATCACAGCAGATTCACAGAGACTCCAGTGCAGCCACGTGGTGGAAGAATATTTATAGACAAAAAAGGTAAATAACGTACAGAAATTAGAAAGTGAGGTACAGAGCAGCTGGATTGGTTACAGGCTGGCGTTTGCCTTATTTGAACACAGTTTGAACACTCAGCAGTGTATGACTGGTTGAAGTCCAGCACTGGGATTGGCCAAGACCCAGCTATTGTTACAGGTACATACTCCTAAGTTAGGTTTTCAATCTTGTCTACCTATTAAGCTAGCTTGCAGTTTGTCCACAAGGGCTCAAATATAGAAGTACAGAGTCCCTCTCAGGTCACATTTAGTTCACTTTTAACAGCTCCCAAGGTAAAATAGAATACTGTTAACGTGTTTACATGTAGATCTGAGCCGTCCTACCTCTCTGGCCTTATCTTGAAGCAACTTCCTTCTCCTTTTCTTTGTTCTATGCTCAAAAGCCTCTTTCAGTCCCTTTTATTTGCGGTGCTGCCTCCCCCAACGGGGCATGTTCCCCTGCTGCTTTCTGCACCCAGAAGGCATCTTACCATCCTTTCCTCCTTCTTCCTAGGGCTTCACACCTCACACTTCCACAGCCTCAGAGCAGGCTTCTCTTATTTTGGAGTGTAGGCCACTCATCACAGCACTTGCCAGAGTGGTGGTTCTACACTTTTTGTGTGATAATTTAATTAATGAAGCACTTTGAGAGTGAATACAATCTCTCACAGATGGGCTGTCTCAAACTTAATGAAGCAGGCTTAGGTAAACATGAAGACCTGATTCTGAGCTAAAAACAAATAACCACAGCCCTTGTCAAAAAACAGCAAGTGCTGAATGTCACCTAAATAAATTTAAATTATTTAAATTCTTTTAAATTCTATTTTTGGAAAGACATTTGTTGAATTTAAAAAGTCAGAGAAGCGATTTTATTAACTTTGATTTCTTACTTTTCTATATTGAACACAGTTGACTTACCTCAAAAATTATCTTGAGATTTTTAAGTTCTCATCAGTCTTTTTGCTGCATTTCTATATGGATCAACTTTATTTTCTTCATTTTTATATGTTTTAATTGTATGTTCTTCAGTTTCTGACCATAGTTATTTTGCCAATGTGATATGCAAAGATGTGTTGTAAGATGCTAATTTTACAGGAATGAAGAGTTGACAGACAACGGCAGCTTATAAAAGGGCTGGAGTTGAACCAGTGGTGTGCTGGTAAATGTTTAATAACTTGCTTTCAGAAAAAAATGTACATGTCTATGTATATGCACATTATAAATGTTAGTGATATAAAGGATGTATCAAACAAAACTTACAAATAGTAAACTACAAAGCACTTTTTATTGTAAATTACATGTAGCCAATTGACCCTCATGGGATGCTTTCACTGATATTTGCCAAAACACATCCATACATAGCAAATCTACATTTGCAATTTACGAATAAATATAGTTTTAAAATAAGTGCTGGTTTATATTTTCATCTATGTTAATAAGTAAGACTAAAGTAAAACAACGAATATATATGTCAAAACTTCACTTGTTTGTCAATAATGTGAGTAGCTTCTTTGCTAAACCAGATAACAGTCTTTAAATACTGGAAGATTATTTATCTGTGTGTGTGTGTGTCTGTGTGTGTGTGTCTGTGTGTGTGTATGCAGTATTCACAATGTAATGAGTAAAGGAAAAACATACTTTTAAGTTTAATCTGTATTGCTAACATTTTTCTCCATCATCACTTTTTAAAGTCTAGGCCACTGTCCAATAGAAATATTATGTGAGCCATGTATGTATAAATTTCTAGTATCTATTTTAAAAATAAACAGATTAAAATTAACTTTGATAATATATCTTATTTGAACAAATATATTCAAAATAGTATAATCTCAAGCTGTAGTAGATATACAAATTAGTAGAGATATTTTACTGCTTTTCTCCATATTGCCTTCAAAATCCAATGTATATTTTATACTTCTAACACATCTTAATTTGTATTAGTCATATTTCAAGTGCTTGATAGCCGCATGTGCCTTGGTGCTACCATCTAGGAAGGTACACGTACAGACAATCAACAAAACAATAAATCAAGCTGTGATCTGTGAAGTTTGCATTTGTGTGTGTGTGTGTGTGTGTGTGTGTGTGGTATAAATACCCCCATCATGGTCAATTTCAAGTTATCAATGTTATGGAAAGAGATGTGTTGAGCACATTTTTGTATAGCATTTCTACCAATTATATAGCATTTCTACCAAACAGCCACAATGGACGTAAAAAACCCTCAAGCACGTAGGGACGAGTAAAATAATTAGGAATTGATGAGTTTGAAGCAATTATTGTTTGTTTTTAATATAAAATTTAATTGTAGGTTTATATAGCTTAATTTTGAGTTAAGGGTGTGTTTATCAACTGGCTCAGAAAATTCCTGGAAATATTACAACTGGTTCTCAGGAGCCAGGATGAGATTGCTCCAGAACACCACTGAATTGAGTCATCAAAATGGATAAATGTCACAGAAGTGTTCTGGTAAAGGGAAAACCTGGCTAAGGAGATCACAAAGCATTGCAAATCTTATCTTCCTTCAAATCCAAATAATGCATGCCAAATTGATCAGTTTGTGGGAATTCAGAAAGCTAAATGGCAGAAAAATATCACTGGCTGAAAATAAGTTTTCTACAACATTAGAAATGTTGAAGTAAAAATAACAGAGGAATTAAGATCATGGGCCTTGGAGTCAGACAGCTCAACGTTTGATTCCTAACTGTGTTATTTCACTACTTGAACAACTGAATAAGGATCTTAATCATTTTGAAATTATCCATATATCTATAAGTGAGGATACTGACTGACATCTACCTTCCTGGTTTCCTGTAATGAAAAATGGACACAAGGTTGCCATTGCCAAAGTGTATTCCACAAAAAGACTGGTTTTGTGAAATGTCAATACGTATCAATTTGGGGGAAATTCTGGTTAAGTAGGCTAGGAAATTGGAATTTTTCAGCGTACTTAAGTAGCTAAGAAATGAATATAATAAGGAACACCCTTGAAATGTATTTGTACATTGATCTCAGTTTTTGTAACAAGTATCTTCATGGCCTATTTATTGTATTCCAAGGAAAACACGGACAAATATTTACAAAGTACTCGGCACAGGTCTGGCATGTGATAATGTGCTCAAGAAAGGGGAACAACAATAATGTAATTTCTAATAATATGATAAAATATGACTTGTATGTAACCAAGGTATGGTGTGTAGTCCAATGGGGAAAATAAAGGCTTCATGCACAAGCAGGTAGTCAATTCATGCACAAAGACATTTTTTACTTTTTATTTTTTTTACGTGGGTTCTCACTCTGTTGCCCTGGCTGGAGTGTACTGGTGCAATCATGGCTCATTGTATCTTTCACCTCCTAGACTCAAGGGATCCCCCTGCCTTGACTTCCCAGAATACGGGGATTAAAGGTGGTGCAAGCCACCTCACCCTGTCCACAAGGAAATTAAAGTAAAATTACATGACTCCTTCAACCAATTTTTATAGTTCCGGACAGAATGAAATCAAAATGAATTAAAAGACTAGGTCAATTAGCCAGAAAAACACTAGAAGCAGAAGCCAAAGCTAAAAGAAATCCAGGATGAATCAAGGGAAGATTCCTTTTAAAAT